CACGGCATGCAATGGCTCTATCTGTCGGCTCCCATCGCCCGCCTCGCCTCCGATGAGCTGCGGCCCGCCCCGCCCCGCCTCGCCCTGCCTCGCCCGCCACGGGACCCCTGCCCTCTACCCTACCCCTCCCCGAACCCACCGCCGCACGCCTGTGGTTCGTCAGGTGTCAGCACTGGGAATGCACGAGCCACTGAGCCGCAACACCATCGGAAAAATAAAAACTTTGAACGAACAAGAAAAAAAAGCGTTCTCTTCTCACTGTGGGCATGTTCTCTACAGAGGCATGTTGCTCACTGGCTTTAAATCAAGTGTTATCTAAATTTATCTCTGGCTCATTATCGGTGAGTTGGTGCTTACGGTGGATCGGCGGCTGGGGCCGTAGGCGGAACGCTCAAAACTCCGTCGTGGCCGCTAAAGTTTAGCTAAACAACCAAAACTGTATGATCGAGTAAAAAGTGTTAAACAGAATCAGTTTGCGAAACTTGCGTGATAGCGTCAGAGGCGGTCTCTCTCATTCATCTCCTTCCTTCTCGGCCCGGCTGCTGGCGTGGTGCTGTCGGCACAGTATGTGCGAAGCGCGTGCAGCAAGCGTTTAATCTGTCATGCCTCTGGTCTGTAAATCAATTCCTATAGCGCTCGATTCCCCTTGGTTCGCTCCCCCCTCATCTTCTCCTGCTCGGTCCGTTTTCCTCCCTGCCTCCCTCCCGCCCGCAGCAGGCGCCGCCGCTCCCCCTCCCTGGCCTGCCGCCCCGCTCCCCGTGACGCCTGTGGTCGCGAGGATAGGCTGCCCGGCGCACACGCGCGCGCTGCGGCCAGCTGCTGGGCTGCCGTCCGTGCGTCTCTCTGTCGCCTGTCCGCTTTGTGTTTACGAACTTTCCCTCCGCGCCGTCAGCGACTTCAACTTCAAAGAGGGTTAAACACGACCGCTGCTTTGTCCACAGCAACTAATGGCGAGGTGAATGGCACGCTGTTGTCACGCTCACTTCGCTGGCCAGCCTACCAACCACCGTGCTTAGGAGAACTCTTTTTATTGATTTATCCACTTGATTCATTACTCTATGGGAATTTTTTTAAGTGCATGTTATTGGTTCTCTGTATATTTTGTGTTGTTGTGATATGTGATGCTCAAACAATACTTTTCTGACAACATTTTTATAACAATGTACTCAATCATTTAGGCGGGATTCAGCAGCTGATTGTGGATGTGTAACATAGATTAAGAATAGAAAAGGCTGCACACCCACAAAAAAGATAAAAGCTCTCCCCACGACTGTCTACCACCCCGCCCACCCAACAACAGACTCTCTGCGGGTCGTAGCGGGCGAGAGTGGTGGTGGCCAGCCTCGCGCCAGCCTGCAGGTCAGCGTGGTGGCGGGG